AGGACTTTATTTGGACAACTTTAAAGGCGATTTTCTCAATATTTAGATTTTTTTGCACCCTCAGATTCCAGATTTTCAAATAGTTGTATCTCGGCCAAATATTGTCCGATCCTAACAAACCATACATCAATGGAAAGCTTATTTATTCAGCTTTCAGAAGATGTATAAATCTCAATTTCACAAAATTGACCCTTATGACTGGTTTTGTTGTCCAGGGTCACAAATGTCTATTTGCTTTCATAATTCATGTGAAGAAAAAGTGTTTCTCTCGATTTCTAGAGATCTACAGACTGAACGCGCTTTGATTCAACAATCGTGCATGTGGAAGAAAACGGACAGTGCTCTTCAGATCACATTCATAATAGAAATTATATTAAGAACATGTGAGAATAAATCTGTTCTCGGATCCCAATGATAACAAGAACTCAGCATCCTCTTCTCTCTCAGAATACTCTTCTTCGGTGTTTGTTTAAACTGGTTTTCGCAACAGCGCCACCACTCTCGCCCTTTTGTGCAACAGCAGCTGCTCCGGGCACGAGATCTTAGCTCAAATCTGATTGGACGGCCCGGGGGAAAAAAATAGACACACAGGACGAAAAAAAAAAATCCTCGCTTTTTTGCGCCACGAATGTTTGCATCTAGTGTGAATAGCCCCATAGAGATCTATTGTTTCGATTCTAAAGCATCACCGTGCCGAACATTCGCGCCGAATTTCACGTTCAGTGTGAAAAGGCCTTTACGCCGCTCTTACCAGCACCACGATGCCTTCGTGCAGCGGCCCGACGGTCTTCAGCGATTCTTTGCCGTTTGCCACCGAATATTCCCACTCCAGGCCGTTCTCAATAAAAGTCTTGGACGTGATTTCTTCTCCCTTGGCGTTCAAAATGAAACTGCCAGTGACCTGATTTTTAACAGCTGAGGAACGCACGCACGGACAGAAGAGAAAGAAACATCTTTAGAGGAATATTATGGGTTCAATACGACTTCAATTCTATTAACAGCATCTGTGGGATTCTGTTTATTACCAGAGAAAATCATTTTAACAGAGAAGGGCTGAAGATGAAACATTGTGCAGAATATACTAGTTTTTAATAAATGCTTCAACCTATAGTATGCAATATTACATCATATCTGTTTTAAATGTTTAATTACATTTTACGCAAGATATTATACTACTTATAATATTTTATGATACTACTACATTTATATTTTGAATTTAATTTGATATTTTCAGTTTTTATTTTAATTTTAATTCAAGTTTTAGTCATTTTTTTTATTTTAAAAAATATTACTATTTAGTTTTCATTTATTTATGTTTCAGTTTTAGCAATTTTCCAATACTGTGCAGTTTTAGGCATTATAGAATGATAAAGGTTTAAAACTGTGGTGTGCTACATTATATCATATATTTATCTTCTATTTTAAATGTTTAATAATATTTTGTGTAAAAATATCTTTATTATCCAATATTACTTCTTATATTAGTTCTTGTTAATATTTTTTGTTTTAGTTTTCGTTTCTAGTTCAAGTTTTTGTCATTTTTAGTAATGTTTTTTATTTTCATTAGTTATTTTTTTATTTCAGTATTAGTAATTTAGTACTTCAATTTAAACTTATTTCAGTAAGTTGTAAAGGTAACATTTCTACATTTTATTTAGATTTTCATCTAATATGTATATTTTGTTATTTCGGTTTTATTTTCAATTTCATTTATTTATTTATTTATAAACCACTTTTCACAGTGCATTAATGAAATATAATAATGAAAATGTTTTGTTTATATAGTTTTGGTTTTAGTTAACAACACTGCTATATATCATACTATAAAGTCTATATACTACAAAGTACACAAATAGTAAGAATAGTATGCTATTCTGAACACATGTTGCTTTACGGTCATAAAATAAAACTCTTTGTACTTCACATTTAAACACTTCATATTTTCTCTGATAATAAATCAGGCTTTCAGCAGAAGCTGAACATGAGCTCAGGGATTCAAGTCAAAGAAAAGAAAGAATTACAAACATAACCATTAGAGCAAACTGCTTAAGCCAAGCTGGGAGATGTTGGGGAATCTAAAATGGCATGCAAAGCATGATGGGAAGGCAGTAATTGGTCTCAATAGGATGCATCGCTGAAGAAAAGAATTGATTCCTACTGAAAGATACACAGGTACAAACTCACCAATTACATGAGGCGACGTTTCATTCTCCTCGATCACAATGTGCCGAGCGCCAGCAGGAATATCAAACATCTTCAGCAAACCTAACACACAGAGCGAGAGCTCAAGTGATCATGTTTGACAATAAAGAACCCAATATTTCACTCAGACTTCATGCAAAGATTATAAATTGCATTTTGCTTAAAGCAAATGAGGCATATTTAGCACTAATGAAGTTATTTGCATAATAATAAAACACATTTTATCACACTACTGTGCCAAAAAAATCTATCTCATTCTGATTTTAAAGTGAAATTGCTTTCGTGAGATTCATCCAGACATGAAAATATGAAACACGGAGATAGTCAGAGGTACAGAGCTGACCTTTACTTTTGGCCCGAGGTGTTTTGCATGTTTGACAAGAAACAATTCGATAGATGAAGCTCACCAAGAAAAGGTCCTGCTTATATTTCATCACAAAATCATAAATAATTTTTTGCATAAAGGAAACGAGGCCTATTTTAGCACTAAAGAAGTAATCTTCACAAAAGTAAATCACATTTTACCATTAC